GCTGCACACATCTGAATATTTGGGTTGAACTGTTCTGGAACAGTGTTGTAAATACAACTTAACCACTGATTTCTAGTCGTGTCCTCTTTTGGAAGACCAAACAAAGTAGTTTCGCTTTCACAACTAAACACACAGTGCCACACACGGCGGGCTTGAGTGAGCAGAGGCCAGCGGCTAGAGTGAAGAACGGCCGGCGGATTCGACAAAGGTGCGTCCGGCAGGCTTGCGGCAACCACATGTGACAACCCTGGGCTGGACTCCGCTTCGTCCACGGTGAAAGCCGATCCAGTGATCCACAGCGCGAAGTTGATGTATTTGCTCAGCAACCAGCACGGATCAGCTCGAGGCATGATGAAGCGGATATCGTCCTCTTTTGGAAGGCCAAACAAAGTGGTTTCTCTTTCACAACGAAACACAGCGCCTTCACAACATGGCGGCGGCGAGAATAAAAGTTACGCCTTCTTTCTTTGCGTGAACATTTGGGCGGCGTTATGCAAGTCTTCCCACATCGTGACGTAGATATGTGGGGGCGTGTTAGAATGAGCTGTTTTAGGTAGGCGCGGTTGACTCTTAACTTTTATAAAGAATATCTCTTTGGATTTGAGACTTTAGTCTTAGCAACTTTACAGATCTTCTTTATGCACCAAGAGCTTGTAACACTTGAAAGAGAAAGAAAAATTTAAATTGCATCATATGACCCCTTTAAATGGATTTGATGACAAAAATGTTAAATGTGACAAAGAATAAATATTAAAAGGAGAATAAAAGAATAAAAAGGTTAAGCAGATGAGAAAAAACAATGCTCTACAAAAATTCTAATTGAAATTTTTCTTCTAATTAATAAAACAAATCTACATTAATCTAACAAACTCTACTTATAGTATTTAAACCATGGTAAGATTCAACACAGATTAAAATATTTTTAAATTAACATATCAAAGATCTTGGGCAATTGTAATACTGTCAAATATATTAATTTCTATTTTAATGTCTATATTTTCTATTCTATTAAATATAGTGAAAATATATATTTTATGCGTGGAAACAAATGCTTTTGGTTAGAGTAAAAAAAAAAAATCTAACCTTTTACAGCGAATGGGTCTCATTCCATCAGCCACTAGATGGCAAAAATACTGCATTTCCTTCATCCCAATCTGAGATCATTATGAACTGACCAATATAGGACATTAAATGCATGGATTTTTTTCTAACCTATTTTAATCAAGTTAATCGCAAATGATAACAAAGAGTGACTGAAGAAACTCACGCCTCAAGGAAATGTTGCAGCCCCCGCATCCGTTGAGTGATCTGGAAATCACTATTGAGATTGAAGAAAGGATTTCCGCGAGGGAGTTTAGGTAACTCTCTACAGAAATAGCAAAGAAAGGGAGAGACTACACTTGTATAAATAATAATAAAATTTTTACATGCAGTTACTTGAAATAAAAACTCAATATTATTACTCTATTTTATTTATTTATTTATTTTTGTAAATAAAAATATAATATTGCCCAGAGTATAATGTCCTCTATATAATGTTAAAATATAATACTGTGTCGCCCAGAGTGTGGGACTGTGATATCCTCAAATTACTTACATAAGCAGAGCATTGTTCTGTAGTTTTTGACGCAGCCAAACAAACTCACTATACCTCCTCCTCACACAAGAGGTCTTCTTCCGGAAACACATACTATTGGTCTACAATAAAAATATATAGTGAACCTAATGCTATCATTGGTTAACATGTGGCACTGAAAAAAATATGTATATAGGCAGAAAGCCAAACATCAATCAGAAAATAAAGTCCGAACAGCAACATTCCACTGTAAGCACAAAATAAACATGTAGCTACTGCACTCACATGAAGACAGATCTCATAGGTGATGTGCGTGTTCCAGAAATCCTCCTTGTGTACCTGAGGATCTCGTACCCATACACTTATAAACTCCTGCAGATAGAGAAAAAGCAAATGTTAGTGTTTATGATCAGTGAAGTGTTTCAAATTGAACAAGGAAGTGACTCAGCAGAAAGTGTGCTTGTATTTTTTCTTATGAGTTACAGTTTCTCCCCTTTTTACTATCAGTTTGATTCAGACTCTGCCCTTTCACCCACATTTCACGCTATCTGGAGTTTTGGAGGGAGTATTTGGTACCAATTTGTAATGTACAGTTGGAATTTCTCAAATTAACACACTTTGTTTCATCACAGCCAACAAACTCATTTGAGGTCAAACAAAACACTTCCCTAAAAAGTGCTAAACATATAAAAGCCATATCAGCTGCACCTGATCTGAGAGACAGTCACTTTACTTATTTTTGAATAAACATATCACAAAATATTAGTCATTTTAATGCAAGCCAGTCTTTATAGTATTGCATGGCTGTGAAAAGAAATTTCCCCAACAAATGAACCAGAAATAACGTCAATGGGCACTGGTGGAATTATGTACTACCAGTTTCCTCTTTAAACATTCCAGACAAAAGGCATGATGCAGTTCAGTTACAAAGTGTAATTAAAAACTTGTTTCCACCCAAGATGCTTTCCTTTTCTTTCTCTGTACCAACAATCAAGTGATCATTGATCTAAAAAAGCATTGGGGGAAAAAAACCTGCAAATACTAACATATTTAATTTTAGCAAAACAGACTTAATTTGCGTTCAAATCTAATTTTTCATGTCAGAGCACCAATCACTAGATAAGACTTAATATTCTACTGTTTGCCCACAGAGTGAAGGTTTCATCTGAAAAATCAGTTTACTATATAGATAACGACCGCTGAGTCACACAAAGTGATGCTGTAGATGAACAGAAACAAATATAAAGACGAAAAGAACACTAACCTTCTTCACTAGGTTTGTGTTTTCCATTGCACAGACTTGACTGAAAAAAAGAGACTGTTTGTCAGTTTGTTTGATTTTTATTGTCATACCAGCATATATGCCTATTTCATGGCAAGATCAATGTATTTTAAAAGAAACAAATAGTAGTAACTTAAAAACACTACTAGTAGTGATGAAAAACAGTAAAGAGTAGTAATGAAAAGCAACAAATGACAGACTGTTTGTTATTGTTGGATCATTTTAGTACTGTGTTACTTGGATCGTTTCGGTTCTAATGCACTTAGGGATAGGAATAGTCTAAAAAACAACAGTGTAAACATGATTACAGATCTCAACAAGACAATGAAAAACATATTTATGATCAATCTGCCATAACTCAGTTTGCTACCAAACACTTTACTGTATAAGTAGTTAAAAAGCAATGTTGACTTTTCATTACTATTGAGCAGAGAAAGCAAGTTGCAGTGATGAATGGGCAATGTGAGACATTAAAACAATAAATCAATCGTATGCTACAGCAAACCCAGATATTCATGTTGGCTCCTTCAATGAAATCAGACTTTGTTTTCCTGTGTATGTTTAGCAATGACATGCTAAGTAAGAGAGAAACAGTTCTAATGGTGAACCATAAAGCAGATCAATTTCACTTTCTTGTGAATTCAAAAATGAAAGTGCCATCAGCATTAATCCAAACAAACAGCCATCAGTGACTTTCATTCATACTCAAGCTAATTCACTTTGATGATAACTTAAGTTAATTACCTTGAGCCTGCCATAACTCAGTTTGCTACCAAACACTTTACTGTATAAGTAGTTAAAAAGCAATGTTGACTTTTCATTAATATTGAGCAAAGAAAGCAAGTTGCAGTGATGAATGGGCAATGTGAGACATTAAAACAATAAATCAATCGTATGCTACAGCAAACCCAGATATTCATGTTGGCTCCTTCAATGAAATCAGACTTTGTTTTCCTGTGTATGTTTAGCAATGACATGCTAAGTAAGAGAGAAACATTTCTAATGGTGAACCATAAAGCAGATCAATTTCACTTTCTTGTGAATTCAAAAATGAAAGTGCCATCAGCATTAATCCAAACAAACATGCCATCAGTGACTTTCATTCATACTCAAGCTAATTCACTTTGATGATAACTTAAGTTAATTACCTTGAGGTGACTGGGAATCTTAGACTAATTGGCCAGGAGACAACAAGAGACCCTGAGCACCCTGGACTGAACTTACGAGATCACGGCTACTTTGACCTGGTTTTGGTTAGTCAAAATATATATATATATATATGCACAGGCTTTATGAGATGTAGCTTCAAAAAATACATTTTGGCAACAAGAGGACACTTTGATTCACCATACAGAAAATCAAGCAGTGAAAACTAAAACTAACGAGAAAATAGAAAACATCTATTCTAAACAACTTCTTTGTATTTTGATGGAATATAGGCCGATGATACGAATCACTTTTTTTTTTGCCCTGAACATGAACACAAAAATGTAATTTGACACATGCGTTTTAATACATACCTCTAAAATAACAAGCCTAACTAGAATGCTATATTTTATAAGCTGCAACCAACGCTGGAAACGTTCAATGACCAGCAAAATGAAAAAATAAAAATATAGTATTAGAAATGTATGCTGAACGGCTACAGTTCTCACTCAAACGAACGACAGCTGTATAAACAACACAAAAGTTTCCCCACTCTACTGTTTCGCCATTATATGATACCTATGTATCTTCTTACGTTATATATTTATTGGGATAGGCTACATTAATTTTTGTTCTCACCGTTTCTGTCGTGTTGTGTCGTGTATCTCTGCCACCGTGGTCCAGGTGTACAGGTGCTCCTGGGACTGATGTGATTGAAAGCGGCAAACTAGTTCGCGTGTGGCAAATGAAAGTTTTTTACTCGCAGTATATGATGTGCGCATGCGCAGCTCTCAACCCTTCGTTCCAGCACTTCTCAGTTTGTTTGTGCTTGTCATGTATAATATCAGCAGGTGCGTTATCATTACACCAAATAAAATGTTATAATGATAACTAACTATTATTAAATAACAATAAACAATATATACGTTTATACTGATTTTGGATTTTTTTTTTAATAAGTTTAATTTTTATTTATGGTAGCCAACACTCTCGGGTCAGGTAGACACCACTGTGACTCCCTCCACCTAAACCTGACTGAGGCTTGATATTTAGAGACCCTCTTAATAAATATAGCTGCTGTTTTAGAGTTCAGAAATGTTTAATGGAATCAGGTCATCATTTGTTAAACCGCATCTTGCAAAACAGTGTTGTTTTCTTTTCTTTTCTTATTTTTACATAAAAGATTAACTATATAGACATGCTGACATGCTTATAGACATGCTGTAACATTCACCAAAATACGCTTCCTTCCCAATACACCCAGAACTTATTACTGGAAAAAAATGGGTCATTCAGAAATCATAATAGTTATGATTTAACCAAATGACCATATAAACAAAAAGCTTCATGTCCCCCCTGGCCATGGGATATCCTTCTAAGGGATCACAGTATTAAACACAAGTGGCTGTAGTTTATTTTTACCACTGTCTCCAGTCATTTCGGTCTGACCAGATAGTTATTCTGTTTTGTTAAAGTGCCCCTGTTATGGGTTAGGAAAGTTCATGTTTTTGTTTTGGGATTCCACTACAACAGGTTGACATGCATGCAAGGTCAAAAAAACATTTGCATTGTCTTATAATATGCATTTATTTTTACCTTATTTGCTCAACGACTCCCAAACGATTCGTTCAACGATTCATTTTTCCAAACCCCTCCTTTGCGTGACCTTAATCTGCGGGAATTGGTCCGATGACCCAGTCTGTTGTGATTGGTCTACTGCGTGCAGCACATGTGAGAAATGGAACGCCCATCAAGTTTTCCCGGGTCTGCGCACGCAACAAGTGGGCGGGCATAAATATGCTAATGTTTCATGTTGACGTCAACATGAAATGGCTAAAGATTCATTTTAAAACGACTCCTTTCAGTGACTCCGAGTCGACTCTTTCTTTTGAGAGATAATAACTTTATACACGGTGCACTTTCAGATTTAAAACTTTACAGGATGTTTTCATTCACTTAGAGCTGTGTTACACACTGCATGAAATGTAATTTTCAAAAATCCATAATAGGGGCACCGCACTAATGCGCAGGACTTGCAAAGAGACCCAATGGGACGATGCAAACTAAATAGGACCTGACAGTAAACCCACAACAGATTTATAGCGTTATTACTCATAATATAAGTCATTTACATATAGCAGTATTAAACAGGCTGGTAAAGAAGCAAACATAGCCAGTAAAAAAAAATATTGTAAGGAGAAACAAGTATGTCTCTTTTTATCTTTTCAGTTTCATTTTTAAAATGTTCCAGAATTTCGGAAGGCAAGTCACACTGACAGTTACCACAATGTGTGGTCTGTGGCACAGGACAGCTATGTGGAGAGAACATGCTGCCACAAGACCCAATACTTTCAGCTGGTATCAGTGACGCATTTTATTAAACACACTAGTCTAGATAAACTTGCCCACAAATAAAAGTTCTTGGAAGTGTCCAAAAACGAGCGGAACTTTTGCTATTTTGCAAAACCATTCTCCAAACACAAACAAATACAAATCAAAATCTTCATATATAGTGTTAACAAGAAAGGTAAAATATTTTTTTAGGTAGAAGACTAGTTAGGTACGCAGGAGCTAACCCATTAAGGGCCTTATAGGCAAGTAATAATATTTTGTAACTGATACGGAACTTAATAGGTTGCCAGTGCAGAGACTGTAAAATTGGTGTAATATGATCATATTTTCTTGACCTGGTAAGGACTCTAGCCGCTGCATTTTAGACTATCTGTAGCTTGTGTATTGAAGATGCAGGACAACCACCTAGCAGTGCATTACAATAGTCCAGTCTAGAGGTCATGAATGCATGAACTAGCTTTTCTGCATCAGAAACAGGTATCATGTTTCGTAACTTGGCAATGTTTCTAAGATGGAAGAATGCTGTTTTTGTAACATGGGAAATATGATTTTCAAAAGACAAGTTGCTATCTAATATAACACCCAGATTTTTGACTACAGAGGAAGTAACCGTACATCTGTCTAGTTGCAAATTGTAATCCACGAGATTCTGTGTACTGTCTTTTGGTCCAATAAGTAATATCTCTGTCTTATCCAAATTTAATAGGAGAAAATTATTGGTCCTCCAATCTTTTACATTTTTAACACACTCTGTTAGCTTAGATAATTTAGAAGTTTCATCTGGTCTTGTTGAGATATATAGTTGAGTATCATCGGCATAACAGTGAAAACTAATCCCGTATTTTCTAATGATGAACTGATTAAAATAAAAATGTATTATTATAACATACATTACTGATGTAGTGGGCAGTATCAGAGAACCAAACAGATGATAAGCTTTTGGATTCAGTTTATTTGAGATATTTATACATTTATTAGACTTAGTATATTTCATATAGCTCATATATAACTCTTTCATATTTAATATAGCTTTTACCTTTCATTGTCTTGGTCCTCCATGTGTTGATGTGCTTGGCTTGTTTTCAGTGGTTGGCTACTTGCAATGTTGCTCTCCTCTGGTAAGAGTTGACTCCAAAGTTCTTAGAGCTCTCCAAGTTTCTTCCGTTCATTTGTTGACATAGTCTATCACATGAAACATTCAGCTATTCTTCAGTTTTATTTTGCTGGAATTACTTACGGACATGTTGCTAAACATGCACATATATTAAGTCATGTCTTTTAAGCATTTGGATCCTGATCAGTTTCTTTAATTTCGCAATTTATGTTTTTTCTTACCCTCTCAGGGAAATCCACTGTTAAATGAGAAACTGTTAAATTGCATAAGTGTGTCTGACACAAACATATATTAACATTGACTAAGCAGACCAAGTTTACATCACACTGTTTTCTGACTTACATATACTGATATAGGAAGGGATACATGGGTAGCCCCATTGGGTGGAGTGTGCGAGTCAAAATTTACATACAAAAGTTGTGTAACTTGAGTATTGGTTTTTATGTTTTTCCTTCCAAAATCTGTTTCTCCGTAGTAATATTTCAATAAGGAAGACGTTGTTGCTCTGCATGGGTGTTAAAAATAGCCTGATGATGGATTGACTGATTGAACAGATCTCCAAAATATACCTGATCAAATTCTTTTATATTGATAATTTACTCAAAGGTCCAGGAGTGTGGGAAGCTGGACTTTTACCTATCAATACCATATCCTGTGACATACGGTCCACCATGTTACCTCTACCACAACACCCAAAATGATTTCCTAATTCAGAAATCAGTACTTGTAACCACAATATGTAGAGATATTGAATTGTTGTTACACAGAGCATATGAGACATTCTGTCTAGCTGTTATATAATACTGTAAGTACCAGTACAAATACACACATACATTAGCCAACGAGTGCCAGTGCAGTTATTTATTTTCTGTTATCACTGTAAAGAGTTTTCAGTTTGTCATCTGACCTGCTTATTTCAGGATGACATTACAAAAACAGGTTCTTTTTAGAAAAAAGCCTTAGAACTCAAAAGTCCATCACTATGCTGCTAATCTTTGTCATGAGACCTGCAACCAGCTAAGCAAATGGTAATAAATGTATTTTCTGTGGTCCTAATCTGACAGCACGGTTATGGATGTCAAATAGCTTTTTTGCTTTCTCTTGTTTGTTTCAAGATATCATCGCTGAATTAGAGAATCAGATGGTGCTTTTTTTTAAAGATTTTTTTTTTCAATTTAATAATATGACTGCCACAACCCAGATGGTTTTAGTGAGATTTCCATGATGTGCAACTGTAAATAAGACTGAGACACAATCTCAAGCATTTTACAAATAGAAAGAAGCACTATCTGCATCCTGTGTCAGATATGATAAAGTGTGCAGAACATGAACACTTGAACTCTAACCCTAATGGCAAAGGCAGCAGAGAGGTCAGAAAATGCAATGACATTATTGGTCACATTGCTTTTTTCCATGGTTAACTGTCTGTGTGTATTTTAGATAATGCCCAATGTATATGTCTAGGTCAGCAATTTCTGAGTTGTGTGACTAACTGAAATATTAGAAGAGAAATCTCTGAAAGACATACCCACAAAAAATGAATAATTCTGGTTCTGGAAAATTTATGACAACTAAATTGTGCAATTAAATATTTATAAGTCATTTGTCGCTCTGATTACAAAAATGTGGGCGATTCTTTTATCTAAATTCTCAAATGACAGTAGGTGAAAAACATTTTGCGCTTTGAACAGAACACAGAATAGCATACATAAATGGTAAAGGCAGTAAGGCACTATTGTTATAAAAAGGCTACTTATCCCTATAAAGACAACAAACAGGCAATGCAGAAGACTACCCTCAAAAGAGTAGACGCAAGTGCACTGTGAAATAACGATGAGAAAACACACCTTTCCTCATGTTTAATCACTAGTTGGTAAAGAGCTTCAGCTAAAATGCACTATTATTACTGCAAAACAGGTTTGACCCACAAAATATGCACAAGAGAACTGTGGCACTTTCATTTTTAAAAAGGCTACTTATCCCTATAAAGACAACAAACAGGCAATGCAGAAGACTACCCTCAAAAGAGTAGACGATGAGAAAACACACCTTTCCTCATGTTTAATCACTAGTTGGTAAAGAGCTTCAGCTAAAATGCACTATTATTACTGCAAAACAGGTTTGACCCACAAAATATGCACAAGAGAACTGTGGCACTTTCATTTAGTTGTTTTTAGGAGGTAACGCAAGGTTAAAATAACAGAAGAGGGCAAATATGTTTTCTGAACAGCAATATTAGAGGTTTTACCATTTAATACAAACATGGAGATCCATGTATTTTAAAACGTAAAAAATGAAAATTTGCTAAAAATCTACTCAC